TGACGTAAGCGAGGTTTATCTCTATTGAGAGAAAAAAAAACTCGTGTCGAAAGATGCGCCGTTCTCGCGCTACTCGCGGAATTGACAGCGTCGTTGGTGTGAAGGTGAAAATGTCTCCGAAGAAACTTTTTCTCTATGCGACGAATATCTCCCGCAACGGGAAAAATTAATGACATCGCGGTCGGATGGAGACGTCACACTTTTTTTAATTTACAAACTTTTATTTTGGAACGTGGAATAATCCCTATTTTTCGCTTCAGCGGTAATCGTTGCGCATTTGAAACCTGTATGATTATGTCAGCGTGTAAACGAACGCTTGCTAATTTTAATAATGAGTCGAGCAGTTTTGTAAATAATCATTTCCGGTATCCTCATTACCGCCGCTCCTCGTGTTTGTAAAATTTTTTTGTCTGCGTGGGTTTTATCCGGCGCTGGGTCGGATAAAATTGAGGGTGTTACGAGGCGTACGTGATTCCGGGATAATTGGATAACGCGTGGCGAGACGCGGAACTTTTGATGCATTTTGCGCGCCTCCGCCTTCGCCACCCTGCCTCGTCTCTCTCCCCCCGTTCTCTTTCGTCTTTCTTCGCCTATCCATATTCCGCGGAAAGTTAATTTGTAGAAAAGTCGCGAAACACGTAGAATAAATACATTCTTCCGTTTTAACGGCGGCAGCGGCCTCATGCAGACACGCCATATCGGTGTCGTTTGTCATGCACGAAGCACGAGCAGCGACGTTATCGCGTTCGCGATTAATACCCCTGACAAATCGAGGCGCAAAAAGGGAAAGAAACGGCGGAAGCGCAGCGGGCTCACGGAGACAAGGACAGAAGTACGGGAGGAGAACAGAGATGGATAGATAGGAACTGTGTGTGTCCTGTCCCCGTTCCGCGGGAAATTATCGACGCGCGACCCACGCCTTGAAATTACGGTGCATTTATAGGGCGGCCGCGTACTACGTGTTTCTTTTACAATTTTACTCTCCCCCGAATGCATAAGACCGAGTCAGCGCGGGTAAAAACCCGTATGTACGGTGTAGCGTGTGGTGGAATCGGGCGACCGCTTATTTTCCCCCGCGTGTAGCAGCACGCCGGGATAAAAATGTGTGAGCGAAACCGGACAGCTGGTGATGCCACACTGACTCTCGGGCAAGGTGCCGCGCACTTTTGTGACGCGCTATCTCTCCTCTGGTGATTCATCGTCGACCGCCGCCTTTGAAGATAGGGCGACCACGCTCCATTTGACTCGTCTATCCGGTTTTACCCTACTTTCCCCTATTACCCTCAAAACACACCGCGCGCGCGTCCCTTTTTCCGCAATTTCGCCGAAACATCGGCTCTCTCTCTCTCTCTCTCTCTGTATCGGAGTAAATTGTGTCGTAGTGACGGAAACCGGGTCACTGTTACGCGGACGTTTATTCACAGCGAAACAAGTAGCAGGAAGGAGCCCGCCGGGAGCGCGATAAGACAGCGAACCGTAGAAGGCGAAACTGTGGTACGCATAAAGGTTTCGAAATGGAGGGAAAGTCAAAGCGTGCGCCGGAGTCTTTTGGTAGCGGCCGTTCTAATTGGGGCAGCTGTTAATTAAAGTGTGCGCGCGCGCGCGCTCCCGCTTAGGAGAAGACATCGTTGTCGTCATCGTCGGCGGCAGCGGCGA